TATATATTTGTGACATACTTTTTCAGAATACATTTGTATGGAAAAATAAATAGTACTCAATAACTTCAACTCATTTGAAGCTAATTTGGGAGAAGGTGATTGATCTATAAGAACCATGCCCTATGCCTTGTCTTGCTTCATCTTTTCTTTACCTTCTTCTTCATTAAAAAAACAAAGAGAAAATTCCTTTTTTTTTTTTTTTAATGCTTGTCCAACAAATTGGCAGTAATGTGGAAACTAATGCGGATGGACTCGTATATGGGGGGGTTGAACACATTGATATCAATGAAATAACAATACATCAATCAACAGCAATATATTTTAAATGCTTATTATTTAATTAATTATTTGTTTGTTTTGTACTAAATCTCCAAAGATATATGAGTATTATATAAGTAAATATGCATAGCCAAATATCTGGTTGATATAATTCAAGATAACATTTCCGTCCAAATGCATGGAGGACATGATTCAAATCAAGACATTTCAGAAGTCTTATCTTGCCTAGTTCATGCTTAACCAAGTCAACACATTGTAGAGGACATCATTATTTAGAAAAGCTTGATAAATAAGAAACTTGTTAAAAAATACTGTCATTTTAAGGTAAATTTAAACAGCTATCTGAAGGCTACAGCAGCAATGGTACAGGAAACAAGTTCATTCGAGACACAAAAGCCTTAAAAAGAGTGGTTTCTCCTACTGCCTTAAAAGCATAATACAGTTATAGTTGAGGCCTACAGCTCAGTTTTGAGGTGATCCCTTGCCCAATAGCCGGAAAGTGGTAGTTTCATGAACCTACAAAAACAAAAAAGAAGAGGAAATTTCTTGGATTAGGAGCAACATAAGAAAATATATCATCATCATCGTTAGTCATTAGTTTGACCCCACCAACTAATTTGGGGTAGGGTTTATGATTCCTCATCCTCGACTCGTTCCAATTGAGTACTATATGAGGTTTTAAATTTATTCTCCAAAAATAGTAGAGCACAATCTATATGTTAGCCATGTGTTTACCACTGATCCTATCCTTATATAAATCTTTTTGCAGAGATATTAGTACCATATACCCACGATTCGAGTTGAGTTTAGATCGATCGATTACAACCCTAATGCTTATCTAGATCGAGTTCATAGAAATAAAATTTGATTCATGAATGTTTATTAATTTTTATTCTCAGCATAACCATTTGATTACATTAAGGTTTTTTAGTCACACATCTAGCAAATTGTATTTTTGCATATTGATATTGGAATTAACCAAAAACAATGATGAACAAACAAATATTATTACCAAAAAAGCCAATAGACGGTTACAACCAACACTCAAAACAGAAAATAGCAACACCACCACACACGACACACGACCAAGGAGGAACTTCGGTGGTGTTGGTCGGTGTTAGAAGACTTGGAGAGGTGGTGAAAAGACAGGGAAAAGGTTTCTAAGCTATGGATTGTCACAACAGGCCCAGGGCTTGGAGTTAACCAATGCGGGAACGAACGGTCGAACGGTGTGAAATAAATTTTCTATATTAACCTTCAATTTAATAAATGAAAGAGTCGCTACAAATTAAATTAAAGAAGTACAATTAAAATTTACCCCGTTGACGGTTGTCCGCGTCTTCTATAAATGTTTTCTCGTCTACCGCTCATCTTTTAATAATTTAATTACACCTGAAAAATTATTTAAAACAATTGTAAGCCAAACAAATATCAGAATACTCATACTCATAAACTACAGTAATATAAAGAAGATAGAAATAATATGCATGTCAGTTAAACTGTTTTAATAAATCAATATAAACATTAATTGTTATTCAAAAGTCTTACTTTACCAATAGCATATCAATATCATTTGGTACTCGTACTTTTATTTTTAGTTTTGCCTCAAATTCATTGAAGAAAATGGGAGTTTGAGAATATAAAAAGAAGAGAGAAAAGATTTGGCCGCTTTGGAGAAGGATTGGTCGCTGAGAAAGCCGTTTAAGGTTGGTTACCTAAGGCGGCGGGTTAGAGGCAAGCATATAGAGGATCGTCGTAGGACGACTCCGTAAATTTCAAGTTATTAATCTCAATATAAAAGTCACCGCAACGTCCCGCAAATTACTAACGATCGAGAACCTCACCAGACAACTGAGAAGAGTAAGTACGTTTCTAAATTTTAGTACTTTCTTTTATTTCAGAATGTATGTTGATTTATATGTATGTTTTAGTTCAGTTAGAGTTATATTGTAGCAGATTTTTCATATTGTTAGATTAAGAAAAATATGCATAACATAAAAGATATATAAGAAATATATGAGATGCATGTTAAGTAAAATAGGAAATGATGTACATGCATGAAAGATATGCACAAAATGAATTATATTTAGCTAGAAATTATATATGATGCATGCAGGAAAGATATGCATTATAAAAGTAAGAGATATGCATGAGATAGATATATGAAAGACATGAAAGATATGTATGATAAATAGTTGCACAACAAAAATGTGTATGTTAGTAGATTGCATAGAAATGTCTTAGAAAAATATGCGTATACAGAATGAAATGGTCTATATATGAATGTTTGTATGTGCATGTTTAGAAAATGATTTAACCCCCTAATAGTACAAGCAGTGGACGCTAGTATACCCGCATAAATAGAGTTTTTCTACTATCTCAGACAATTGTGATGGTTAGATCACTAACCGCTGTGCCAATAAGATAATATCGGATAGGGGCGAGTAGATCAGAGCTTAACTCCCCAGATAATTGTGATGTTTACATTGCTGGTCGTTGCACTGACAGGATAATATTAGTCAGGGGCATGTAAAGATACTTGATGTGTAGATCACTAACAACTGTGTCGACGAAAGCTGACAGGGCAATATCGACCAAGGTTGTGTTAGGTTTGTTGACGGTGATCCTCACAGAGACAGACGTGTATGTAAAAAATATAAAATAAAAGTAAAATAAAAGTAAATGCTTATAAAAGATTAACTATGTTTATTTAGAAAAAATTCATTGATACATGGATTAGCATATATCATATTGTTTATATATATATATATATATATTTATGAAAGTCTTAAGGCTGATTATATTAAAATAAAAAAGGATACAAAAAAGTTGTATGAAAGGGCCCAATAGATGATGTCCTACTCATACGATACATGGTACAAAAATATCTCCACAAAAAGATACAAAAGACTCAAAAAAAGAAAACATGCAAAACAAGTGTCTATGGACGAGACAATTTAGACCTGCCTCTTCCTCTGGTTCTTGGAGCGGATCCAGATAGCAAACTCTGAAGTGTTGTTCCATTGTCATGAGTGACCAAGATATCATCCATTAAGTTTCCAAGCTGAACAGTGTCCCCGACCTTCTTCCTTCGCTGAGAAGTGTAAACTTGTCATTCTTCTTCTGAAGACTGTTCCTGAGTAAGACCTTGGGAAACACCTGCCCTCTCAACAAGTAGTTCTACCAACTGATTAATAGCAGTAAGATGGTTTGTGTTTGGCTCTAAATCTTCCTCACTAGTATTAGGAGACACATTTTATTAGTATTAGGAGACACATTTTATGCCATCTGAATGTGAATGTTCGCTTCATCCCTATCTTCAATCACCTCATAGAGGGGAGCTTGAGGTAGAGCTTGAGAGGGTAGTATCTCCACTCCAGTAGAAGAAGGGGCAGTGACCGCGTCCTGCCTTCCAGGGGCAACCTCCTAACTATCCTCCAACAAACGACCCTTATCAATATTTTCCGAAACAATATCAGTAGAGAAACCATTTTGCACCGTATCCGCCATGGGCATAGTAGTAGGTATCACAGGCAGTGAAGAAGAGGGCATAACCTCCGCAGGAATATGCTGAGAAACAGGAGGTGGGGCTACAGCCGACCGAAGATGGGGATGCAACCGATAACATGATGAAGAGCTATGACCAAACATTCCACAGTGAAAGCAGTATTGGGGATGAGGTCTCATCACAATCTTCTGCCAATAACCCTGATGAGGGGAGCCAATCCAAATCTCCCCTGAAAATGGTTGAGTGATGTCGCGCTCTACAAGTACACAAGCTTCAGATGGTCTGGTTGTATCAAGCGTGGGAGTATCGACCTTCAGCGGTTTCCCAAAAACAGTTGCTAATGTATAAAGGGTTTCATAATTGAAGAGATGCACCTTGAGCCCTAGAAAATTAACCCAAACCGAGATAATAGGAGATTTCAATTTAGAATCAAAATCCACTGTCTATTTCAGAATTTTCATAAAGCGATTATCAATTTTGAGAACTTTTTGAGCAAAGATTTGAGTATAATCTGCGTCATTTGAGAGTTAAATGAGAACATGACGACCATCTAGCGAACCAACTTTCCAACTCCCTATGAGCTTAAGAGAATCGAAATGCTTTCAAATAATCTCAACCTTGGGATTTCCATATGGAAATTTCCCAACAAGAGTATATCTACATGTTGAAGCGTATATCTACATGTTGAAGCCAATTCTACATGTTGAAGCCAATATATTTGTTTCCTCATCAGTGAGAAACAAAGCGGGTTTGTCATTCTTTCCTCCCAGTATTTTAATAAATGTATAACCGCCTCCAGATTCTTGTGCATCATGAAATTCTTAATGGAAGAAACAGGAACGGTCGTCTGCTCCGGGAGTAGAACCCCCAGAGACAACCACCGCGCGCCGCATAACTCGGGGCCATTCCCCCAAACCGAAACAAAAGTAAACCCAAATGCAAAAGCCCCACGCGCCAACACTAGAGCTGAAGCAACGAAGAACAGAAACAGGGAACGCAAATCTCGAAAGCAGACGAAAAAGCCACAGACTGCGATCGGGGAAGAAGGCTCGGCCAACGCACTCGAAAGCAGACGTAGGAAGCAGACGAGAAACTCAGTTTGCGAGTGGAGAAGAAGGCTCAATTCTCCTTCTTCATGCACAACAGTTCCTCCTTAAATCAGCTTGATTCTTCTTCGCGAAGCTCAACGAAGAAGTGACACATTCCTCCCCTCTGCTCGCCATCGAAGCAGTTTCCTCCTCTCGCACGACAGATATGTCTCTTCTGTCCTAATTCTCACTTCGTCCTCGTCGCCTAGCTCAAGGAAAGTCGATCTGCGATTTTATAGACAAATTTTTCTCTCCGACATCCTAACCATCAATCCCATCTTCTCTCGCTATGATCGATTCATTTTCTATCCCTTCCTCATTTGGTTTCATGACTCGTCAATTCCTTATCTTCAATTTCACGAACTTCTTGTTTCTTCTCCTCCTTCCATTCATTTGGCTTGAACCTTCCCATCCTCTTCCGCGACTCTTCATTTCTCCCCCATTAAAAACAGAACTGTTACAATCTTCTCCACTTACAAAAATTTAATCCTTGAAATTTATAAACAGACCTCACAAAACAACTCATTAAGCATTTTTTATTAAACTCTTCTTCCACAATTTCAGTTGTAGCCTAATGCTAATACTTATTAATTTGAGTTAATAATATCTTTTAAGTTTTAGTATTAAAATTTTCTTATGATTTTCCTATTGGTCGTTTCATCGGTGTTCAATTAATTAATCTTAAACATAGACTGATACCATTTTGTCATGGCCTGACCCGAAACTTGGATTAAACCAAGGCGGATACAAACAGTCAGACGGAGTGAAATAAATTTTTTATATTAAATAAAAGAGCCACGACAAATTAAATAAAGATGTACAATTAAAATTTACCTCGTTGAAGGTTGTTCACGGTTTTTTTTATCATGGCTCATCTTTTAATAATTAAATTAAACCTGAAAATTAGTTAAAATAATTGT